CCATGATCCTCACCTTTGTAGCCCTTGGCCTTGTATCTTCCATCTGTTTCCCCTTTCAGGCCTTCTTACTGCCTATCCTTCTCAAAGTAGACATGGAGGCCAGGCCACTATTTAGAAGCTTCTCAACTTCCTCCCAGTACTGCACAAAGGGTCTTACCCAGTCACCTCCTTCTTCCCCAACATGTAGGATGAAAGTGTACGGTAGCCAGGATGCATTCAGTGGTTGGTAAACTGAGCTCTGTTCAGTGCCTTGGGCCTGGTTCTGTTGAGCATATGAGGCTTTTTCCAAAACAAGGACAAGGACATAGACAAAAAGACTCTTAAATTCTTGAACCCCAGTCACGGTTTTCCAAAAGGTCCTCCAGGATAGACTTTTCACTGACCTTCAAATGCTCAACACTTAGTTCTTTCTTAGATGGAAAATAAAGAGAGTTGAGATTGGTTATTCTCTAGCATCATTTCCTCTTTGCCTGTTTCTTTCATCCAGGAGGTCAGACCGTGAACTGGATATAAGGTCACTATTGGGCAGTGGAGTGTGAGAAAGAAAGGACTTTGGCCTTAGGGGCTGCAAGTTATAGATTAACGTGGGGAGGGCTGAGGAGGGACTCAGCGGGAGGGTAAGGGCCTGAGAAAGGGACTGATGACCTGGGACAATCTGGGCTTGAAGGTGTACAAACAAAAGGAGTCGGGGACTGGTGCTGTCTGGAGTGGCCTTCAGCTCCTCTCTGGCTACTTGACCTTCCTGAAGACCTGCTTGCATACTGCATCCCTTGCGGTCAGTTCCTGGGGATAAAGAAGGAAAGTTGAGAAAACGAATGTTCTTGCCAGCTGGAGCTGCTTTCTCAAGGTCCTTGACCTCCATTTAATCCTCAGGATACATCAACTAGAGCATTTAATGCATGAGGAATTGTACCATTGCCCAGACCTTCAACTTTTCACCCCAGAGGAAGGAAGGTAGCTGGGTCAGGGAATGTGAAATGGTGAAGTCTCCATCTCTCCAGTTTTGATTTATGGACATTCACTTGACTTGTAGCCAGGGCCCCACCTCGACCACTCTACTTTTTCCTCTCTCGACTCTCCCCAGAGCTTTTTTGAAAAAAAAATTTTTTTTATATACTTTTGTTCCCCAGTGCTTTTGTCCCCCTGTCTTGGTTGTTTTCTTTGGAGCGGGGGCAGGAGATAGAGTAGTAGAGTTATCTGATTTGGGCAAAGACATGAATCCTAGCTGGAGGCCCCTCTCCAGACATGCCCATTTGGGTTCCTTTTCCCAGACCTCACCCAGCTTACCAGGTACAGCATCTCTCCTTCCAGCCAGTGCCTCCAGCCTCGGTTAGGCACCTCCCCTTTCTGCACACAGACCAGCTGCTCCTCCTCCCAGGTCACTATGGTCTACAGGCAAGGCAGGAGTAAAGGAAGACTGAGGGGCAGTTCCACTCTGGCTGGGCTGTCCCCTTTTACACCACAGCAGACACTGTCTTGCTCCAGCCCCTTCACTCTGAGTGAGAAGGCTGCTCTGACTTAGGACCCCTGCCCCCCACTCTTAAAGGCCACTCAGGGGGCCCACAGTTTGTCTACCGTATGGCAGAGGAGGGAGGGAGCAGGATAACCAGGGTGAAATTGGGGAGTGGGTGATGAAGAACGGAGACTTTGTCCTCTGGATACTTCTGGTCAACCTGGAGGGGCCTTTGGGAAAGAAGAGATAGGCTGGGAGTTCTGTCAGGGAATCTCTTTCTCAGTTTCAAGGACAGCTGAAGCTTTCCTGAGAATGAAGGATTAAGCTCCCAGAGTCAGAGCTGGGTGGGCCTGGGCATTCCAGTCAAAACTTATAAGATAGACCCTGCTAAATAGGGAGCTCAGAATCTTGATCAGTAAATGGATATTTATGATACCAGGCAAGAATGTTGAGGATGGGAGTGAGGAGCTAAATCTTCAAGGAAGTGAGGCGTTAATTAGATTGGAGCTAAGGGGAAATTTCTCGCAAGGAAAGTAACAGCACAGAAGTAAGAAAGAGGGCAAACAGTTCTGAGGGGCTGTAACCTAGTGTGTATGTGGGAAGGACACTAGTGTGCTGTGTGAAGCATACGACCTTACCCAGAGCGCAGTAGATTGTCATGGAAAGGGTTTGATTAAGGGAGTGACATGGTCACTTTTACATGTTAGATCCTTATGGCTACAGTACACAGAGTGGTTTAAAGAAGGGTTAAGATTGAGGGCTAATTTCAGGTACCAGGTGAGAAATGAGGGCCTGGGTTAGGCTGGGGAGAGTGAGAAAGGCTAGGGGGGAACAGATGAGAGCCATGTGGAACAGCAATGTTCAGTAGAAATATAATGGGAATGTAAGCCACATATATAATTGAAAGAGTTCTAGTAGCTACATTAGAAAAGTAAAAAGCAACAGGGAACTAGGATCTGCAAAGGAGACCAAAAGGAATATGTAAGAAGCAGAAAGAAATGCAGGAGAGTGAAGTTATAGAGGCTAAGGGAAAAAAGACTGTGGTGATGAATAGGGTCAAAGGCTAGAGGGTAAGCAAATATTTGCTCATTGGCCTGAGGGCGACCTGCTCTTTTGGTCCTGTTGACTGGTGATAAGATCCCACAGGGAGAGAATGGGAGTGGGGAGCACCAGGACCCTGTTATCCTGGGGACTCCACAGCATGTAGTGGTGGTCATTTCCCCTGGCTCTGGCTGGGTGAGGTCATTTTGCTTTGCCCCGAATTATTAAGAAGCACCTACTTGCTCTTCCACATCCCCTCCCCGACCCCAAACCTGAGGAAAGGTACCTGGCATTTTCGTCCATCCACCATCCTTAGGTCCTCCTCAAACTCAACTCCCACCTCGAATTCTAGAACGTAGCTGCGAAAGGTGCTGAGGGTCTTCACTGTCATGTGGTTGCCCTGGTGGTCAATCTCCTTGTCTGGCTTGAGCAGCAGCGCTATCTTCCGCAGAGCCACGTTGATGTCTGTGGGGATTGTCTCTTAGCCGGTGTCCTCTTAGCCAGCCAGCCAGGGTTCCCCCGCCTGCAGCAGCCCCCTGGGGGCTGTGAGCTTTCTCTCAGCTGGGTCTGGACTATATTGATTTACTCCCTCCTAGAAACACTCCTAGAGATGGATCCCAAGAGAGGTGCCAGCTCCTGAGCCTTTCCACAGGGTCCAACCCCAGCATTCCCCCTTCTCAATGGGATGGAGAGGCAGGAAGGTAGAGGGAAAAGGGGGAGTGGGAGAGGTCTGGGAGGGGTGAGGCCATTACTTAGGGCTTGCAGGTAGTCCTCCATGTTCTTCTGTGAGACAAAGCAGTAGTAGCCGGTGAGGTTGGGAGGCATTGTCCGGGCTGGCCAAGATGGAGATGGAGATCTTAGGAGACATAGGAGACAGGGTGAGGAGGGAGGGGTGTTGTCTGGCAGGAGAGACTCCTCACACAGAGACAGGCTTGTGTAAAGGTCTATGCTTACCAGGGTTTTGATAGCGCCGGGGCTCTGTTGCAATAAGAGCTCCTAGCAGACCTCCTCCCGCCCCTCATGATGAGTTTGGGGTGGTGTTTGCTGCCTGAAGGAGGGGCAGGGACTTGGCAAGGTCGTGCTGGACCTCGGCTCTTCCTGAGGAAGGAACCTGGAGCAGGATCTGGGGCTGTCAGTCATCCGAGACTTGAGCCTTTCCAAAGGTCAGCTTGGCTCCCAGCCCATCTGTGGGCGGCTTGGGAACCATTCCAGAGCCCTGGGGAGATGGTGTCCCCCTGGGAGGAGCTGGTCTTGCTGTGTGGAATGTGGGCTCTTCCAGGCTTACCCAGCGATGAGTTCCAACAACATTCTGAGATCCGGGGGCTGAGTTGGGGGCCCTGAGAAGGATGAGGGGAGAAGGTGGGGGAAGAAGGAGGACAGCCAGCTCACCACGAGCCAAAGTGAAGCAAATCCTATCGCGCTGGCCCCCACAACTCCTCTAGACAGCTCCCCTAGCTGCATTCCAGGCTCTGTCCTATAAGACCATTGGGAAGGAGGTGGAGAAACTGCCCTTCCTAAGCACAGAGGGGGCGGTGAGCAGCCTGATGAGGTGTTGAGTTCAGAGTCCAGAGCGGAAGTCAGTGAGGGAGGAGGTTGGTTGGCTATTCTGGAGAATGTTACACGCTTTGGCCTGGGATCCAGGGCTTTCCTTCTCCCTGTGGAGTCATTGATGATACATACCCTCCCTCCTGCCCCCCCACCCCCCACCCCCTAGTCCCTCAGCCCTCAGACGGCCCAAGCTCACCAGTAGTCCCATGGTGGAGGGAGGTGTGACTCAATTATTTTGTGCCCCACCCCCCGCCCCCAACCTACCAACTTCTCTGGCTTCAGAATCAATGGGCTGATTTATTATGGTTTAAGGTGGGGAATTCGGGGAGAGGAAGGCAGGGAGGGTAGGCAGTGGGGAAAATTACACCGGGTGGTGGACTGCCTCGACAGGTGTGTGTGTGTGTGTGTGTGTGTGTGTGCGTGCGCGGCACAAAAATCTCACTTTTCCTTCACTTCCAAAGCCCTTTCCACCGCCCTGCTGACCGCCCCGTGTTTTCCTGAGAGACCTGGGGCTGGAAACTGAAATGCTAGGATCTTTCGCGTTCAGGCTGTGGGTTTTACTTCACGGTTCCCAGGAGGCACGCAGCAGGGACTTGCTGGTGGAATGGACTGTGTAAAGAGGTTAATGCAGAGTTGGGGGGCGGGGGGGCGGGTGACGCGGATACTGCTCCTCCTCGCCTCCCTCAGGTCTCCGTTGACGTCTTGGTTCCCCACCCCCGAGCTTCTAGCTTCTGGCTTCTCCCGAGGTCCGTCTTATTTCCCACCCCCTCCACGGCTTTCCAGCTTCCTCTCCAGCCCCCGCAGTTCCCTGGCTCCCGCAAATTGCAATCCAGGGGGAAAAAGCCCTAAAAGCATTCTCCCGCCCCAGCTCCCCGGTCCCATTGGTTCCCTCCCCCGCTGCAGCACCTGGCCCTCCCAGTCAACCGATTGGCCCATGGCCTCATCAATCTTCGTCTGGCTGTGCTTACGTCATCCTGCAGTAGAGGGGATGGGAATGAGAGAGAGCGAAAGAGCGAGGAAGCCGGGCTGGAGAGCATACGAGAAGCCACTGCAAGTCCCCCACCTCCGCCACCCAGGTTGGGGTCTGCCCAGGTCTGCTCTATGGACTAGTGTGGGCCGCAGGCTTCTTCTGCCTCTGCCCTGCTGCCCGCTGTCTTCCCTCCCCTCCTTGGAGGTCCCCTGCATCCCTCCCCCAAGGAGCAGTCAGTAGGCTTGAGGCTCCCAGGGGAGAGCAATCGCCCGGCCCTGCCCTGCCCTTTACCACACCACACCATGACCCTCCTGCTGCTGCCCCTCTTGCTGGCCTCCCTTCTTCCCTCCGGCTCCTGTAACAAAGGTGAGTGAGGTGGGGGGTGGGGGCACTAAAAGAGGGGTTTCAGGCAGACCATTGGTGGGTAGGGGTGAGCAGGAGCCATGAGGCTCTCTGGCACATGACAGGTGTCAGTTCTTCCCACCATTCCCCTTCCCATCCATTTTCTCAGACGTACCCCTTCTCCTTTCCTTTGGAACATAACTCCCCCCCACCCCCGCCCCCCACCACCACATCCTCCTGTCTGGTCCATCTTTATCCATAGGCTTCTTTGGTCCCATTTGGTCCCTATTCCCATCTTGGGTTTCTCTCTACCTGTCTCCCAATTTCTCTCTGTTGGAGATATTTCAGGTCTCGGAAGGACTTGCCCTGAGGGTCATTATACATCTCTGGGTGGTTCTCCATTTTCACTGGGGTGTGCGTGCACTAAGGGTGCGTGGCAGATCCATCTGGTTCATCTCCATCCCATCCTGGGGAGAAACTGTTCCTTGCGGCTCAGCAATTCGGAGCACGTATGTTTTGGCGTGTTCCTCTGCATCTATACCCTTATGTCTGCATGCAGCTGGGTTGTGGGTTACCAGAGCTGCCCTCTCTGGCAGACAGCAGATAAATTCAGCTGGGTGAGGCCCACAGAGGGACCAAGAGGGAGGGAAGAAGGGAAGGGGTGGAGGAAGAGGGCTCAGGTAGGTGGAGAAAGGCAGGAAAGGGCAGAAGTGGGTGTGTGGGGGAGCTAAATGAGTGCTGAGAGGGAAAGCTGAGAAGGAGAAGGGAGATGAGGCGTGGGAGGGGGATAAGAGGGGTTGGAAAGGGTAAAAGTGGAGGCAAAAAAAGGGGGGAGAGAGGAATGAAAGGGAAATCAGGAAGAACGGAGGAGAAGAGGGGGAGGGGAGAGACAAGGAAGGAAAAGACAGGGAGCCTAGGAGTGAGTGAAAGGAGATGGACACAAGGAGAGAGCTGGTGGCCAAGAGGAGAGGAGCAGGGTCAGGGGTGAGCTGTGAAGAGGGTGCCCAGTGCGGCCCTTGCTGTGTGCCTCCCCTCCATCCTCAATCTCTGACCTCAGTCTGGGTTTTTAGCCTCCTGCCACTTCCTGTGCTGCCTTCTGAGCACCGTCCTGTGGCTTTCACCTCTGCCACTAGAGGAGGGGTGGTGGTAGTCATCAGCAAGAAAGGGGCAGACTTTCAGATACAAGAAGGCTTTTGGGGGTAGGGTTGGAGGGAAAAATGGATTTCTTGCTCACCATGACATTCTGGGACGAGTTTCCTCTGGCAACATCCTTTTGGATGATGTCTTTCTCTGCCCGTGTCCTGCTGATGGACCATCATAAATGTACCTGGGAGCCTGAGGGTTGACACGATAGGATTAGATAGAGCAGGCAGTGGAGATTGGGGTTGGGAGGTGATGTAGAAAGGGAAGGGAAGATGCTGTGCTTTCCCCGTAGCCTCTTACCAGGCTAGTGGGAAATTGGTCCTGGCAGGAAGCACAGTTGAGCTAAGTCTGGTAGGAGATAGGGAGATTTGGAGGCTGATCCATCTGGAATGGGCTGGTGGTTGAAGGAAAGTAGATAGAGGAGACAAGAATTGGGACTAAGTCATGAGACTGTATAAAAAGTGGGGTTCAGGGAGCATGGGGTTTGGTCACCTTGGTAGGGGAAACACAGAAATGTGTTGGTTACGAGTGTGTTCTCTTGGCTGTGGGGGTGAGAAGCAGGGAGGAGATTTGTCCTGATTCTAGGCCAGCTTGATAATCCCTTAGGATGTTGGCTCTGCTGGGTCCAGTTATTTGGCATTGATTCCTCCGCTCTATCGCTGCCCTTCTCTGTCCCCCTCCCTCTGTCCTATATATTCTCTCTTTCCCCTTCTTCCCTCTACTCTGGGAGAATGGCCTTAGTTTGGGGCTTGGCTGGGAGAAGTGCAGAGTGAAGGGATCAGGATTGAATGGGTAGTGGAAGTGGTGATGGAGTGGATAAGCAATCAGGATCTCAGGAAACTTCTGGATCTACTTTTTCTAATATCAACTCTGCCCTTCATCTATCCCTTCCCTTTCCCAGGGCCTTCTGATGGCCCACCACAATTTCCTGAATTCTTCAGTCTCTATTCTCCAGCACTTGAAATCCCTAAAGAAAATTCTCCACCCTCTGACCATGTTTCCCAGTGAAGTTAGAAGATCCATCCCCCTCTTCAGGGCAGACTGTTGCCATGGAAACGTTCTATCCTGCCATAGGAGAAGGCTGTGACCTCCCTCAGGCCTTCTGACTCCTTTAATAGCTGATTTCTTGTCCTCATTTTTTTCCACCTGCAGGTGCTTCTGCAGGGTGTGGAAAGGGTAGTGATACTGGAGTGTGAGTTTTTCTGAGTCAGTGAGGGTGGTGTGGGAGTGGCGGGCGAGCTCACAGGTTCTTCCTCTCCTCTCCCTTGGGGGGTCAGCCAACAAGCACAAGTCCACCACTCTTCGCCTTGGACAAGGACGCCCCCCTGCGCTATGCAGGTAATTGGGATTGGTGGATTGCAAGGCGGGTAGGGCAGAGAAAAGTGGTTGGGAGGGTAGAGGGCAGGAGAGGAGAGGGGAGGTCCTGGGAAGGAGAGCAATAAGGAAGTGGGAAAGAGGTCTTGGAAAGTGGAAGATGAAGTTGGCTCAAGGAGTAGAAAGGGCTGCATTGAAGCTGGTGGTTGGGTAAAGGCAACCAGAGAGGACACGGGCAGGATAGGGGTTAAATGAATCAAGATTTTGCCAGATCTCAGACCTGGTACCTCTGAGAGGTTGTTGATCAGGAAAGCTGGTATTGGAGCTGTATGCTTGATAATTATTGCTTTCAGATGCACAAAAAGGACTGGGTTTGGGAGGAGAGGTGAAGTGGGAACCCGAGGCAGGGAGGCTGAGGCTGGAAGGAGATGCTGGAGGTAGTGCAAGAGCCTCATCTTTTCTTACCCCCTCGGCCAGGTGAGATCTGTGGCTTCCGGCTCCATGGGTCTGGGGTGCCCTTCGAGGCTGTGATCCTGGACAAGGCAACAGGAGAAGGGCTGATTCGGGCCAAGGAGCCAGTGGACTGCGAGGCCCAGAAGGAGCACACGTTCACCATCCAGGCCTATGACTGTGGCGAGGGCCCTGATGGAGCCAACACCAAGAAGTCCCACAAGTGAGGAAGCCCTAGTCCCGTGCCCCCTGCTGCAGGGTCTTCTCCCTCCTTCCAAGCCCCTCGCCATCCTCCATCGGTGCAGTCATTGAATATTAGCTGCCCTTTCCCTCTCTGTTTATAGGGTTTAGGGACAGGAGACAGAATTATATGGTAGAACTTAGTGGGATCTAACCCTGGCTCTGCCTCTTATGGCCTTGGGCAACTTAGCCTTTCTGGATCTGCTTTTCTTATCTGTAAAATAGAAATAAGGATGTCACCTACTTCTTTAGGTTACTGTGAAGATGAAAGGAGATGGTTTGTATAAAAAGCATGCACCACAGTGCCTGACAGATAGTAATGGGCTCAATACATGGGGGTTACGATGACCAGGAGAGCAAGGAGGAAGCGAAGGTGCACACTCAGCACTGTAGATTCCTTCCTACTGTCCTGCCGGTCTATCTGCAGTGTGCACCACACTCACACCATTATAACACACACAGCACTCTGGGTGAGGGTGGGCAGGAGCTGGCTACAGCACGAAAGAGGCTGGGACCTGGGACTCCTTTGTTTCAAGCTGGCTTCTCATGTGAGACTGGATGAAAATTGGCAGTCAGGATTCCTGGGTTGCTAAGAGGCCCTGGAGATCAACGGCTCTTTGTGACTCAGTTTCCCATTTGGAGATAGGAACTTTGCCTCGAGGGGTCCTGGGCGCCTGGATCTAGGCTAGGGGCAGGCCTCAGTGCAAAGGGTTAGCCTGAGCTTTGGTTGCCCTGTGGGGACCTGAGCAGGGAGGGCTGCAGCTGACATGCATATTGTACACTTGTTCACGAAAGGCAATACTCGTCTTCTGTGTACTGCTCATGACAGATGACATGGCTTTTGTACAAATGCCACTTCCTTTCCCATGGTTGGTTTTTAACTTGGCTTTTACCCTGTATCTTCCTTGATTATCTCATTGGATCCGATTGTTGTGAAGAAATGACCTGCTGGACACAAAATCCTCTTACCCCTCTTCTGGGCAGCCCCAACCTATAGCATTCTGTCCAGAAGCCATCAAAATCAGTGTTGGTGTCACCGGGGGTGGTTCTTACCCCTCAGAGCAGACATCCTTTCCTTAGCACAGTTCCCTTGAGGGCTCTCTCCCTCGAGGTGTCTGGTGCCCTGGCGGGTGGGGATGGGCATCCCAACTGCCCCAGGCTAAGGGACAGACTGCCTCCCTCCTGCTTTGATTCCCTGTCTGGATTTCTGCTTGTGCCTCTCTTGAGTCTCCAGTATGAGGATGGCTGACTCGTTCTCTCCCCTCCTCCCGCTCTGACACATGCAGGGCGACCGTTCATGTGCGTGTCAATGATGTGAATGAGTTTGCCCCCGTGTTTGTGGAGCGGCTGTACCGAGCTGCAGTGACTGAGGGGAAGCTGTATGACCGCATCCTGCGGGTGGAAGCCATTGATGGTGACTGCTCCCCCCAGTACAGCCAGATCTGCTACTACGAGATCCTCACACCCAACACCCCCTTCCTCATTGACAATGATGGTGAGTCCAGCCCCCACCCACCTTGTGCACCCACATCCCTCAGGACATCTCAGGGCGGAGCTGTCCGCTTCTCTGCCCTCCACACCCTCCTTTCCAGATGTGGAGCATTTTCCCCCCAGATACCCTCTTTTCAGCTTCCTGCTGCTTAGTTAGCTCCTGAGCCCCCCGCCCCCCCCTTGTCTCCCTAGGTTTTCTTTAGTGCTTCTGACCATCTCTATCCTCCCTGTCCCCACCCCAGGGAACATTGAGAACACAGAGAAGCTGCAGTACAGCGGGGAGAAGCTCTACAAGTTCACGGTGACAGCTTATGACTGTGGGAAGAAGCGGGCGGCAGATGACGCCCAGGTGGAGATCCAGGTGAAGCCCACCTGCAAACCCAGCTGGCAAGGTGAGGAGCCCTGCTCTGTGACTCGCCTTGTGAATCATTTTTTACCTTCACCTCACTTTTTGTCGCTTCTGACAGTCATGGGAGCTAGGCGAGGAGTCAGGGGAGGGATAGTTAGGTTCCGGCTTGTAACTGTCCGCCCTGGACAGCCATTTTTGTAGGAGGCTGAGACTGTCAGTGGAATGGCAAGAGCAGAATGGATAGACGGGAGGGGCTGCCTTCCTCTTCTGTCTCTCCACTGCCCTCTCCCTCTCCCCCTTGCAGGCTGGAACAAAAGGATTGAATATGCACCGGGTGCCGGCAGCTTGGCTTTGTTCCCTGGCATCCGCCTGGAGACCTGTGATGAGCCTCTCTGGAATATACAGGCCACCATCGAGCTGCAGACCAGCCACGTGGCCAAAGGCTGTGACCGAGACAACTACTCCGAGCGGGCATTGCGGAAACTCTGTGGTGGGTGTGCATCCCCAACCCCTAGTCCTGCCCCTTCCCCCCGAGCCTTTACGTGACCCTCCTCTACCTCTTTCGTAAGAATCTGCATTATATCTCCCTTTGTCCATGCACAGGTGTATGTATTCACAGGGGTTGTGGCATGTAGTTAGCTCTTGTGATCCAAAGATCAAATAAATATGTTATTGGCAAAGATGCATAATTGTAGCACAAAACGATCACCAGATGCATTGTGGAAAAATGATAGGGAGAGATGAAGAGTTGGAGAATGAGTTAACTGGAGAGGTATTCCTAAAAGAGAGGTCAATTCCTCTCTTGTCTTTGAAAGGCCAGAAGAGGTGGTGAGATGAACTGTAGGAGATTTTTTTCTCATTAGTCACCCTTTCCCTGCCTGCTCCCCAGTTCCAAATCTGCTGCTGCTCAGCTCTGACGTGTGTGCTTTCTGGGGCTCCTGCAGGTGCTGCCACTGGGGAGGTGGATCTGTTGCCCATGCCTGGCCCCAATGCCAACTGGACGGCAGGCCTCTCAGTGCACTACAGCCAGGACAGCAGTCTTATCTACTGGTTCAACGGCACCCAAGCTGTGCAGGTGCCCCTGGGTGGCACAGCTGGGCTGGGCTCGGGGCCCCAGGACAGCCTCAGTGACCACTTTACCCTGTCCTTCTGGATGAAGCATGGTGTAACTCCCAATAAGGGCAAGAAGGAAGAGGAAACCATCGTGTGTAACACTGTCCAGAACGGTGAGCCTTGCTCAGGGCACTGGCCGGAGAGTGGGAACCCTAGCTTCTTGTCTGCCTCTGTCACTGTCCAGTCTGTGACTGTGAATGGGTCACTTCCTCTTGCTGCATCTGTAAGATGGCAGTGCTAGGTTTGATAGTTCCTGAAATTCTTTGATTGGCTCCCAACATGAGAGGTTGAGATCCTACTGCTCTCAGAGTGCAGTGGGACTGCTCACTGCCATTCTCACTTGGGGGTGCCCAGTCCTCCTGCATCCCACCATAGACTGCCCCCTGAATCTGCTCCCATTGAAACCCTTCCACTATGGTGGAAAGGCCTGGGTGGTGGTGTGCCCCATCCTTTCTCCTCTGCCTCTACCCATTTTCCTCTTATAAGGGCTAGTTGGCTCCATCACTAAGTACATCTCCTTCCTCAACTGTGTGACACACCTTTCTGGGGGTCGGGTGTCAGGGGGCTCAGCTTCAAATGCTCTTTCATTTCTGCCACTTCTCTGAGGTCATATATCGTGACTTGAAGAGGACTGTCACCAGTGATGTTTGTATTAACCAAAGGACCCATAATGATCTGGGTGGAACAGGCTGGCTGGTGTCCCCCCTCAGCCAATCAGAGTGCCCAAGAAGCTCTAGTTACCACCTGAGCTGGGCGTAGGGGTGTGTGTGTGTGTGTGTGTGTGTGTGTGTGTGTGTGTGTGTTGGGGGGAGAAGACTAGTGAATGCAGGAGTTAGAGAGTGCATGAGAGGGCAAAGAGAACCCAGTGTCCTCTCCCTTCTGGTGCTTTGAACCTGTTTTTGCCCCAGGCCCTGTATTTGACCCCCATCCCCATCCTCTGTCCTCAGAGGACGGCTTCTCTCACTACTCACTGACGGTCCATGGCTGCAGGATTTCCTTCCTCTACTGGCCTCTGCTGGAGAGTGCTCGCCCCGTCAAGTTCCTCTGGAAGCTGGAGCAGGTGAGGCCAGTGCCAGAGAGATGGGTGCATGTAACTTGCTTTCAGGGGAGGAGGGGCCTAGGGCAGGGGTTTGAGTTTTTTGGGTCGCCCATGCCCCCTCTTTCTGTTCCTCACCATTATACCCCTAGGTTCTTTTGTTTTCTATTGCCAAGGCTTGTCTCCTGCAGAAAGCATTCCTGGGTTAAAAGGAAATAGGAAACAAATGACTACTAACATCAAACCCAACACACCATTTCCTCCCCCCCCCTTGTTTTATTTAATCTCTTTCTGATCAAGAACCTTAATAGTACACATTTCTGACTCTCAAGCAGTTAGCATGTTGTAATTGAGAAAATAAGTAATTCTGAGGTACACAGGTTGGGTTTGAGTCCCGCCCAGGGAACTTACTAGCTCTGAAACTTGGTTAATATGTCTAGACTTCAGTTTACTTACCTATTAAATGGGGATAATAAGAATTCTATATTCAGGGTTGTTGTAGGACTAAATGACATGATAGACCTTAACACTGCTATCCCCGCTTAACGACAGAATGTGTTCTAAGAAATGCGTTGTTAGGCAATTTCTTCATTGTGTGAACATCACAGAGTGCACTTACAGAAACCTGTTACACACCTAGCCTATATGGGATAGCCTCTTGCGGTTAGGCTACAAGCCTGTACAGCATGTTACTGTGCAAAACCACACGAGGTTAAACCAAGCACAAGAGAAAATGATGCAATCAAGACCCACGGTAAATGCGAGAAATCTGAGGCTGCTGCTGGCATAATAGTTCACAGTTTTTTACAGCAAAATTTTTTTATGAGAAGAAAGACTACATTCTGAAATAATGATAGTAAGTATAGTATAGTAAGTACATAAACCAGTAACATAGTTGTTTATGATCATTATGAAGTATATGTACTGTACATGACTATTTGAGTTATTATATATATAACTGGCAGTGCAGTAGGCTTGTTTAGACCAGCTTCACCACAAACAAGTGAGCAATGTGCTGCACCTTGATGTTATGACAGCTACGATGTCACTAGGCGACAGGAATTTTTTTTAGCTCCATTATAATCTTATGGGACCACCATTGTATATATATGGTAGTTTGTTGACCAAAATGTCATTATTCCACACATGACCATAGACTGGAAAAGACTCTATACATGTTATTTCTTATTGTTATTATCCGTGATTATGAAGGATAAGTAAAAATGGACCAAAACCCCACAAAAGAAACCAGTAAAATCCTCTCTTGAGCCAATAGTTGCATTCTCCAAGCTAACCACAAGGACTAGTGGAGACTAATGGGTTTCCATCTCCTATTTTTCTTGCAAGCCCTGGTGGAGTGGCTGGTTAAGCAAATGACTGAAAAAAGGCAGGAAGTGGAAGAGAGAGAATGGCAAATGAAGGGCCTGGAAAACCCACAAACTGGATAGTTGAGGACTGTTTGCAAAAGCTTCTGCTTTTTGTGGTACTGTTTAAAAGAGATAGTCTGCCATTTGCTATTTCTTGACCTTCTGCCATGTTGCTAATATTGGTAACATTACTCCTATTTTTATTTTACTTTTATTTATTCAAAAAATACTTATTAGATAAATATTAAGTCCTTGTCAATCTGCTAGATTCTGGGGATACAATGGAGTATAAGATGGGTCAAAATCTTTGCCTTCATTAAGGCTACAGTTTAGTTGGAGATATATTTTTAGAAAGTAAGCAGACATATAAAAATGATAAATAGTGATAAATGCTCTGAAAGAGTAAGGTACTGAAGTAGGGAAAAGGGGAAGGCAAAGATTGGGGAACTTACCTGACATTGGGTGTTCAGGGAAGGTACTGAGGAGAAAAGTAAGTAGGGTGGGAAATAGCTGGTAGGAGAGGGTGTTCTAGGCAGAGAAGAAACAGATGTACAAGCCGTGAAGTAGGAAAGAGTTCAGCGTGTTCCAAGCATAAATTATTTTGGGAAAAGTTAATTCACAAAATAGCATGTTACTCCTTTTACAAATGTTTATAGTTTTAAAGATTTACCTGAAGAGTGGAATTTTAGGTATTAGGTTGGTTGCCTGATGGATTTTGCACAAGGATGTTATTCCTTGAGCTGGATAGGCAATAAGTCCCGATGATAGAACTGTCCCTTGATTCTTAGGAGAAGGGGCAGTGCCTTGTGTTAGTTCCCTGAAGATGAAGTCACTGAGGGGTTCTTGCCCCTATCCTCCTCCCCCAGGTCTGCGATGACGAGTGGCACCACTATGCATTGAACCTTGAGTTCCCCACAGTCACACTCTATGCTGATGGCATCTCCTTTGACCCTGCTCTCATCCATGACAATGGTCTCATCCACCCACCCCGAAAGGAACCTGCTCTCATGATCGGGGCCTGCTGGACTGGTAAGTCGCTGAGTTGCTCCATGAAGACACTGAAGGTTGAGCCTCTAGTGCAGTGATGGCAAACCTATGAACTCATTTTTTTTGGTTGATTTTTCTTTGTTAAATGGCATTTAAATATATAAAATAAATATCAAAAATATAAGTCTTTGTTTTACTATGGTTGCAAATATCAAAAAATTTCTATATGTGACACGGCACCAGAGTTAAGTTAGGGTTTTTCAAAATGCTGACACGCCGAGCTCAAAAGGTTCACCATCGCTGCTCTAGTGGCTTAGAATTGGTGAAGGAGCAAGGACAGTTGGGCAAGGTGACTCAAAAAGATCTCCAGTGGCCACCACAGCCCCCTATATCTCCTACCTGTTCAACTGGTCATCACCTCTGACGGAAAAATTTACTTTTCAGGCATCATGGGAATATTTCTGTCACTTCAGCCAGTTTCCACTCTGTCCCATCACAGTGATTATGATTTCCACAGCCCTTTACCCTGTTGGAGGGCAATAATCCTTCAGAGTCATCAATCTTCCAACTTTAAGCTCTTTCTTTCATTTATTTTTTTCCTTCTGGGAGAGTGTGTGTGTCTGTCAGTCTTACCAGAATTTGTGTTTCCTCAGCAACATATTTGAGGGTTTGTCTATACTAGAGACCTGAGGGATTAAGACAACAAAAAAAGGGTTGGGGCCCTGGCCGGGTAGCTCAGTTGGTTAGAGTGTTGTCCCAATACACCAAGGTTGCAGGTTTGATCCCCGGTAGCACATCCAGGAAACAACCAATCCTATACAATAAAAGGCTAGTATACAAATCGACTGAACGGCCGAATGACGGAATGACCAGTTGCTATGGTACGCACTGATCACCAGGGGGCAGACGCTCAACACAGGAGCTGCCCCCTGGTGGTCAGTGCTCTCCCACAGGGGGAGTGCTGCTCAGCCAGAAGCCGGCTCACAGCTGGTGAGTGCAGTGGCTGTGGCGGGAGCCTCTCCCGCCTCTGCGGCAGTGCTAAGGATGTCAGACTGACGGCTTAGGCCTGCTCCTTGTGGTGAGCAGGCCTAGGCCATCAGTTAGACATCCTCTGAGGGCTCCAGGACTGTGAGAGGGTGCAGACTGAGTTGAGGGAACGCCCCCTCCAGTCCACGATTTTCATGCACCAGGCCTAGCTCACTGCCACTTTTTTTCCTCCTCCAGAGGAAAAGAACAAGGAGAAAGAAAAAGGTGGAGACAACAGTACGGATGCCACACAAGGTACTCTGTGTGTAAGAACTGGAGACCGAGAGTTCTCACCTTAACTCTCTGTTCTGCGATCCCTTTTCCACACCAAATACTTTGAGCTCACTGCCACTTTTTTTCCTCCTCCAGAGGAGAAGAACAAGGAGAAAGAAAAAGGAGATAACAGTACGGATGCCTCACAAGGTACTCTGTGTATAAGAACTGGAGACCAGAGAGTTCTCACCTAACTCTCTGTTCTGCGCTCCCTTTTCCACACCAAATCCTGTTCAGCCTTGTTAGTTACTGCTTCCCATGCCACCAGGGGGCAGAGCCTCTGAGAACTACAGCAAGGTAGGGTTTCCTTGGTGAGTGGCCAGATGGAGTTTGGCTGGATTCTGGGTGTCCCATCCTGCCTACAGAAGGGAGTAAAGGGTTTCTCTCGCTGAAACGCAGGAGGCAGGAGTCAGTCACAGGAGGATCTGGGCATCTGTGGCTTCACACACATTCACCCCGGTCTCCTTGCATGCTTCTGAAGATGCCCTCTCTTGCAGTCTCCTCCTTTTCCTCATTGTGTCTCCTCTCTCCTCCCTGAGTCTTGCTTTTCTTCTTCCCTTTTTCCCTGTCCTGGAAGCTTTTCTCATTTCTGTTGCTTCTATTTTTCACCCCCTTCTCCCCTTGTTTTATTCTGTGCTAGAGGCCCAATGCACAAAATTTGTGCAAGGGGCTTGATCCTCCAAGCTGTAGCAGTTTGCCTTGGCCCTCACAGCCCCGCCTTCGTCTGGAAGGACATCTGGTCTAATTAGCATATTAGTTTTTATTATTATAGATTCTCTCTCTGCCTTCTCCAATATCCCACTTAGCCTCATTTCTCTCTCATCTCTCTTCTTTCCTTCTTTTAGTTCCCACCTTTCTCCTTTGCATTTTCTTTCTCAAGCCTTCTGCCCTTTCTCTCTTTTCCCTTTCTCTTAGTCCCTTTCCTTGTCTATTCCTCCTTTCTTCTCACCTCCCCTCTGCCCCTGTGTTCCTGCCCTAGGAGACCCCTTGCTGATCCACCACTACTTTCATGGCTACCTGGCTGGTTTCAGCGTGCGCTCAGGCCGCCTGGAGAGCCGCGAGGTCATCGAGTGCCTCTATGCATGTCGGGAGGGGCTGGACTATAGGGATTTCGAGAGCCTGGGCAAAGGCATGAAGGTATACCCCCTTCCTCCAGCCCTCTCCTTCCAGACATGTCCCCAGCTCCCCAACCTTGTCCCACCTCTCTACCTCGGCTCCCTTCCTCTCTTGCCTCCTGGGCCTGCTCTCAGCTGTGTCTGTGTCTGGGACCCAGGTCCACGTGAACCCCTCGCAGTCTCTGCTCACCCTGGAGGGGGATGATGTGGAGACCTTCAACCATGCCCTGCAGCATGTGGCTTACATGAACACTCTGCGCTTTGCCACGCCTGGCGTCAGGCCCCTGCGTCTCACCACTGCCGTCAAGTGAGTGTGGGGTGGGGCGGGAAAATCACAGAGTAGGGACAGGCGGTCAGAACCCTTTGGCGGTCAGGGTAGCTCAGTTAATGGATGGGGAGAGGACACTTGACCTGCTTGGTTGACACAGCCTGGACTAGACTGATTTCCCAGAAACTGATGCATTACTTTTTCCACTGAGCCACACTTGCAGGACTTGGGGGTTTTAAACTTCTCGGTGGCTCTCTGCTGATACGTAAAGTGGGACAGGGATGGAACTGGATTGGGAGGTGGGAGGGCTGTTATTAATTCTGACTCAATACTCATTACCTTGAAGATATCGGGCAAATAGCTCTAGGTGCTTTACCTATTTAAACCTTGACTCATCAAACTCTTGCAAGGTCAAAGTGGATGATCTAAGCTCAATCTGACCTGCTGCCTGTTTTTGTAAATAAAGTTTTATTAGTACACAGCCATGTCTGTCCATTTGCATATTGTTGATGGCTGCTTTTCCACTGTGGTGGCAGGGTTGAATAGTTGGGACAGAGACTGTATGGCCAAAAAGCTGAAAATATTTACTGTCTGGCCCTTCACAGAAAAAGTTTGCTGACCTTTGCATTTTAAGTGAATTATTTTGAAATCGTTAAAAGAAAAATTATACATTACTTCAAGGTTTAAGTATATTTGGTGTTAAAAAATACAGATTAATTGAGAGGTAATGGAACATAATAGTTATGGACACAGATATTACTAGCTTTTTCACATCGAACACATGCTATAAAGCAAGGATAACAATAGAATGTAACACATGGAATTGTTATAACTAAATGATATAATCCAGATCAAACGCCTGGCAGAGTGCCTACTCTGCAAATGTTGGCTCTTATTATAAGAGCCAACATTTTCACCCCTTATTAGGTTTATGGGGCAGTGCCTACTCTGCAAATGTTGGCTCTTATTATAAGGGACTTTCACCCCTTATTAGGTTTATGGGGCAGTTTTAGGATATACTGCCATCTAGTGGGTGGATTACACAATGTAGGAGTCAGGGTTCTTGTGTAAGCATTCTCTTCTTTACGCTGCCTCAGTTTCTCCATAAACTGTATGAAGATTACTACCACTGACTTGTCCCTAACTTGAGGGGAGTGGGTTTAGAGATGAGAGAGCTCTGAGCCCTAGGCAGTGACTGGGTGTAATGATCAGGCCTCACAATTAGAGCAGTGGAAGGCAGGGGCAGGGGCTTTGGGTAATCTGGCTGTTGGTGGGTGATGTGGAGTTGAAGGTCATAGGTAAATGAAGTCATGTGGGCACAGATCAGAGCTGAGGATGTGTCCCATCATGTTATAGTCAGAACCCTAGTTGCCAGAGGGCTGTCCTCCAGTTAAGAAGGGCTTAATCCTCCTCAGTCAGCCAAGGACCAAGTCAGAAGGGAGGGCTCTGTCTCAGCTCAGGGTGGAGCTCTGCAAGAGGAGTCCCACAACGGGAGGAGTTGACATCCCCTTTGTTGATGGGCTTATCTGAATCCCTCCTACCTCTGTCTGCTCAGGAAGAGGCTTATACAAGGGCTGGGAATTGACACTGATCCTTTCGTACAGGAGAGGGGTCCTGTTGTTTTCTTTCTGAGGTTAAGAAAAAAAAGAAAAGAAAAGAAAGAACACACTCTCATTTCCCCATTTCTGGTGCTTCCATGTGGGTGGTTAGTGCTACCCTAATACTTGAGGCTGTGGGAGAAAACATAGAGGTTGTGTATTTGTGCGCATGTGTGAATGAGAAAGCAGGGAGAGACAGATACCTACCAGCACTTCCTTTTCTCTGATGCATATCCTTGCCCTCGTTCAGGTGGCTTCCCTAACTTCCAGTGTTCAGTTCTTGGGCCTCTGTCCATTTAAAGCCAGGTTAATGCAACCATTCAGTTTTTATTATTTTTTTAAATCTCTTTCTTGGAAAGCCCATCCACTTGCGGCATTAACCCCAGAACAAATGCTACCCCATCTTTTTCTCTAGCTTTGTCCTTTTTTCCATAGCTCTTGAATTTCTACCAGCTTGCTATACTCCCTTTCCTAGAACAGTGGTTCTCAACCTTCCTAATGCCGCAACCCTTTAATGCAGTTCCTCATGTTGTGGTGACCCCCAATTTCATTGTTACAAATTGAACATAATTAAAGCATAGTGATTAATCACAAAACAATATGTAATTATATATGTGTTTTCCGATGGTCTTAGGTGACCCCTGTGAAAGGGTCGCTCGACCCCCAAAGGGGTCGCGACCCACAGGTTGAGAACCGCTGATCTAGAAGTTCTTTCAGCACCTCAAAAAAAAAATGAGCTAAAGCTGAAATAATGCTGTGAGGAGTTTTATTTATGAATATAGGATGGGGCTAGAGGGGATCCTGGGAGCATGTTTCTGAGCTGCTGTGCTGTTGGTTGGGTCAGCCTGGCTGAGTTTTTTAGGGAGAGTTTGTATCGGCACCAAGACCAGTGAGGCTCATGGGAAGATGGATGCAGGTCCCAGGTAGTCAGATTAGTTCACCTACCAAAGTGTGCTACTCTGATATTAAAAGAGAGTCAATACAAGACTCATCAAGGAGGTCCCCACCTCCTTTTGTGGTAGAATATTTTGGGGCATATTTCTGCCAGATATTGCACTGAACACAAAAGCACCTCTTGGATAAAGAACTGTATGTGTATATATGTACATTTTTGTAAGCTCAGCTTGTAAAATACAAGTTTGCTAGATGTTCCATAATTTTGGGGTAAGACATTGATGATGTGGTCATCCCCTTAGGTTAGGGTTGCCTGACCTTGTGTCCCTGATCTTTCCTGCAGTAGCATCTTCATGAGAGACAGTATCTCTCTCTTCAGCTCTACTACTGGGGGTGACGGTGGTGGTGGTGGTGCAGAGACACTAGTCCCCTTTCCTCCCCTCACCACATGGGCTGCTCTATGTAGAGGTGGAGGCCCAGAGGGATGAAAGAGAATATAGATTATAAGAGAGGGGTTTTGGGCTCATAGCTGCCTCTCCCCATTTCTCACATAGGTGCTTCAGTGAAGAGTCTTGCGTCTCCATCCCTGAAGTGGAGGGCTACGTGGTTGTCCTCCAGCCTGATGCCCCCCAGATCCTGCTAAGTGGCACTGCTCACTTTGCCCGCCCAGCTGTGGACTTCGAGGGATCCGAAGGGGTCGCTTTGTTCCCAGACCTTCAGATCACTTGCTCCATCTCTCACCAGGTGGAGGCCAAAAAGGATGAGAGTTGGCAGGGAACAGGTAAGGATGACCCCAGAGCGTGAGGTCATCCCGAGGGTCCCTGTCTAGCACCGGAGTGAGGGAGAAAATCTGGGGCTGGATGTGAGCAGCGACTTCATCCTGCATTTGCTTGACTAGAGACACAGACCATTAGGAAGAAGAGCCTGTAGGAGGCTCACAGGTGGATGGAAATTGTTGGGTAACGGTGTCGTAAGTGTTTCCCTCCACGTTCTGCGTGGTTCAGGGTTCGGGTCTGGAAGAGGAGCCGCACACAAATGAAATA